CACCCCCCGTCCAGCCCTGCCCTGCCCCGCTAGCTCCCAGTGCCACGCGCCCGAGGGGCTGCAGCCAGCTGGGTGCTACTCGGAACGGCCTCCGCTCAGACTGTAACTCTGCTTTCCTGCCTCTCCTCTGAACGGAGCGCGCGAACAGCAGCCTGACCTTGGTATTCTTGCCTCTTCCTCCCAGCATCGGACATGGGCGACATTGAGAAGGGCAAGAAGATCTTCGTCCAGAAATGTGCTCAGTGCCACACGGTTGAAAAAGGAGGCAAGCACAAGACTGGCCCCAACCTGAATGGCCTCATTGGACGGAAGACTGGCCAAGCGGCTGGCTTCTCTTACACAGACGCAAACAAGAATAAAGGTAAAACTAAAGTATTACGCTTCCAAGTTACAAGGAAGATAGACAGTATCCTGCTGCTAATCACAGCAGTTCTATACTTTGGCTTAATTTAAAAAGTTTGCTGTTAAGTCATCTTTTCCTCAATCACTTAATTACTTCAGATGTGTAATTGAAGGGTTACCTTATAAATCCTATATTAACAACTGTAATTGTTTTTTAGGAATCACCTGGAACGAGGATACTTTGATGGAGTACTTGGAAAATCCTAAGAAGTACATCCCAGGAACAAAGATGATTTTTGTTGGCATTAAGAAGAAGGCTGAAAGGGCAGACTTGATAGCATATCTCAAAGATGCCACTTCTAAGTAATAGTTGTCTGCTGCCTTATTTATTTCACAACAGAAAAGGAAATGAAAGTGTCTCTGCGATGAGATTGGTTTTTAAATTTTCTATTTTTTACATGTATTATATCAAGCCTCTTAAAATCTGTCTCATCAGCCAGAGAATGTTGCTCATGGAAGATGGTTAAAGAATATATTTGTTTGGCATCCATAACTTATGGGAATACATGTAAATTGGATTGGGTTTGAATGAGTACAATCATGTTCTATGTTTTGTAGTCATTCCTGATCATGCAATTAAAAAAAAGGAAGAGTGTTTGTGCTTCTTCATTCTAAAGAATAAGTAAATATGTCAATAGTATGGTGGCTATGATATAACCCAGTCCTTCAGGAAAGAGAAGACTAGTTTCTTGCAATTTCCCATGTATCCTCTTTTCCATTATGTCTTTCCCCACAAAGACAATCAAAGAAGGGAATTAATTTACCACAGTTCTTACTATAATTGTATCAATGAGTACGAAGACATTGTTTTTGTTGGAACTAATATTGTAGCTATTTTTTATTTTATAGCCTGCTAGGCAAACTGGGCAAAGTACCAGCTTCTTTGATAGTGTCTGTTGGAAAGCCTTACCTGGCTTATGCAAATTACTGGTTTCATTGTGCATTATATCATGCACGCCCTGTGTTCAAAAAAGTTGTAGTCTTAAATCATTGAAATGCTATTTCATAGGAACTTTTTAAAGGGGCGGTTAATCAAAATTGTTCAGTCTCGTGACTGTTCTAGATATATCAGATGTATTATGACTCCTGAAAGAAACACCCAGTCTGTTGTGAAAAGAGAATTAATAAGTGCTCTGGGAGTTAACAAGGTACACTGTAAAAACTGCTTGAGTCTGTGAGCAAGGATTTATCTAGCTAATATTTCTCATTAATATTGCTCAATTGGTTACAGGAAACTTCTGATCAATGCAAGTGCAATTCTGCACCTAGTGTTGAAGAGAGAAATTAAGTCTTCCCCCCTGCCTTGCTTTTTTTGCAAATACTGTTACTTGCTCACTTCTGAAAACTTGATTTTACAGAATGTCAAATGAAATCTTTAAAAAGTTCAACTGTTTTCTCCACAGACATAACTGAATTGTTAGGATAAAGGTGTTTGTTTGTGTCTCTCCTCTCAGGCATACTTAAATTTAAGTGTGCTTGATACTATAAATTAAAAAACCTTCCCAGCAGAATACTTGCGGATTGTCTGTGAAATTATTAACTGAGAAGAGATGGGGGTTATAGGCACACAGTTTGAGGTGCATGGTGGTAGGCTTCCAGAAAGCAAGAATACTAGAGAGATCAGCCTAGGGAGGGTGGTAGAGGGGAGTGGACTACTGAGACTTTTGGTATGGAAAAAGGGCAATTTAAAGGGTGGGAGGGGAGGAGAGAAGTCTGTCAGCCTATCACCTAGGCAGGGAAACATTATAGAAACCTTTTTTTCCCCTTAACCACAAAGTGATGGCTTTACATTAAAATCTATTGCATAATAGTCTTTTGATGCTTTAATGTCTCATTATACATATTCAAATTTTGCATTTTCCCTTTTAGCACCCCTTAAATTTTGAATACATCTTACCATGACCTACTCGTTAGCTCTCATAAAAAATAGTTGTCCATGAAAACCCAAGCCCCCCCCCCCAAAAAAAAACCCCAAAACCCTGGCATCTTGTTTTCCTAATGCTAATAGGACTCAACAGCTTTGAAGCTACAGCTTTCCACTGCTGCTTTAAGGTAAGTGTGTGGTTACTTGTTAATGCTGGATTAACTGCTAAAGAATTAACACTTTCTAGGCTCACTATGCTTGCCAACACCCCTCTCTGGGAGTAGGCTGTCTCATTTGCCAGGGCCCCCAAGGCCAGGCCAGCCCTGACTTTTCCTTCCCCTGCCCACCTCAGCTGCTGGAAGCTACAGCTTTCCACTGCTGCTTTAAGGTAAGTGTGTGGTTACTTGTTAATGCTGGATTAACTGCTAAAGAATTAACACTTTCTAGGCTCACTATGCTTGCCAACACCCCTCTCTGGGAGTAGGCTGTCTCATTTGCCAGGGCCCCCAAGGCCAGGCCAGCCCTGACTTTTCCTTCCCCTGCCCACCTCAGCTGCTG